TACTTAATTTAATCCCGGAACTATTTGGTATTATCACTCACACCAAACGACCCCTAAGTTCATAACAATAATAATAATAATAATATTTTAGTTCCAAGAGATTTCCTCAATCTTTCCAATTTGACTTGTATCAAAACTACCTCTTTCTCTCTCTTTTTATAATTTATAATATTTCATTTGATTCCCAAATAATAATTTTCTAACTTGTCGCAAAAAAACATGGAATATTATAATACTAGTTTCAGAGTCTCATTTTGACGAAACTAGATAAAGGAAAACACGACTTCGAAGAATGCTGAGTATTTAACTTAAGACAATTGGCAAATGATTCTAAATGACAGAAGTGTAAATATGAGAAAAAGAAATAATCTATTCCAACTAATAACACGTTTCTTGGCACCAAGTTTATATGTGGGGTCGGAATGTTTAGTTCATGAATTTTAAATATATATTTTTATAATTTGTACATATTTCATATAAATATGAATTTTGTCAAAATATGTTAGCTTGAGCTCAAGGTCAAGGTCTCAACTTCCGCCAGCCCATCAAATTAACAAACCCTAAGCAGCAGACACGTTTGGGAAGTGAAGTTTACCAATACATCACTTTAATGTTGTCTAGAATTATTTTTTCTAATCTATTATTATGCCTATGTATTGTTTTCGAATAATGTATATATGTATATCTATCTTGAGAACTGACAAATATTAGGATATAATTAACAGTGCACCAATGAAAAGCATAGGAGTGTCATTGTGCTACTGATACAAGCTAGAAGATCCATCCACGAGACCTGAGTTCGAATCCAGCTAGTACAGTATGTTACTACTAATTTATAGGTTAGCACAATGTCATCTGAAATAGAAATTTCTAATTTGTATATACGTTGCCTTCCTTATTTCAAGTGAAATTGTATAATACGAAATGATACGTCTATATTTATATGTGCTGTCCTATTTTTGTCCACTAGCTTGCATACGACGGTGTGTATTTATTGGAATGTATGCGTCCACCTATGTAAATGGGACCAGGTCCTCAACACACTCAAAATAAACAGTAAAGAACAAATGTTGGAAGTAAAGAATGACAATCAACTTTACATGGAAACCTCCTTGCTCAAGGAAGTAAAATCACGACTTGGCCTGCCAGGACTTTCAAATTGCTTTCACTAATCTTCTCAAGCAAAAGCAAAAGCCAGTTTACAAACTGATTAGCCTACTAATCCCAACTCTAAGCAATACCTCCTATTACTTAGCTGAGTCAGAGCAGATACAACATTGCCCACTATACTAATTCTAACCGATTAGTATAGACTTTAGAGTAAGAAACTATGGTACCCTTCACCTAGTTCTTACAATGATTCACACAAGTTTGAAATGTTTCTTTCACAAGTGAAACGAATCTTACAATATAAGCACTATTACAAACAGACAAATCTAGCTGGTACTGAAAGCAAATAGAAGCACTTCTATCAGGTCCCTTGCTGTTTTGAAGCTTGAAAGTATTTCTCTTTGAATGTATGAATGAATGATGTTGTTTGTTGTTTGATATATACCATGAGGAATCATTATCCAACGTACAAACAACCTCATTGCTTCTGATTGGTGAAGTACTCTGCAGCTTCACCAACTTTCTGACGCGAACAGCTTTACAGTTGTTCAGCACTTTGACACTGGACGAGTATTCATACTCTGCAGAGGACCAGGTCCCTGCATTTGTGAGGAGATCATCAAAACATCTAGGAACATAAGTCTTTATCAATTTCCCCTTTTTTGATGATGACAAACACTCTTCATTAACTCTTCATGAGTGAACAATCATTCATTCAATTTCAATCACTGGTGTTCCCTCTTAACCGATTCCCCCTTAATTAGGTGTTCCCCTTAACAAGATGCAAACAAAAGTTTCCCCTTTTTGACATCACTGAAAAGGTGGAGCAATAAATGTATTCAAGTTAAAATGTGATACATGCAAGAATTCAGAGCCATGGGCCACACAGAACAAGCGTATGACAGCAAGAAGAGATAATCAAACCACACATGAACAAGGCAGAGACATAAGTAGCATTAGATCAGAAATACTAACCATTGTAGTCAGTCAAAACAACACTAAGCCACAAGAGTTTAGGATAATAAGAAGGAACAAAAAAACAACTAGAGAGACAAGACACATTTAGGAAGGAGGATGGGAGGAATTAAAAGTGTGCATCAACATCATCATGCGCTCGTTTGCACTTTCATGGGCCTGTATCAGTTGCCTGTTTAGGGACTTAATTTCCTCATTGAGAGAGGCATTTGTCTCCAGCAGCACTATGTTTTCATCCCTCAACTCTTTGAGCACCTGCTCATAACCCTCACTGGTACCAGGTCCCCTGGAAACAACCTTCTACAATTCAGACTTGAGCCTTGTGATTTCAACTTCCTTGTCGCTCAGAATCGTGGTGAGATCAGTCACCTCCCTCTTAAGAGTAGCCTGCTGCTCTAGTACATCCGCCACTTGAGATCTGCCCCTAGCCTGTCCCTCAATGCACTCACATTTTAGTAGAGTAGACATAGTGAATATCTGCTTGGTGGTACCAGGTACCCATTTTCCCATTGGAACTTTAAAATGATTAAAGACAAAGTTTAGCAAATACCCATAGGGAATGCCGTGCTTGGCATTCTTCCATGTCATTACTCTATGCATATGTTCAAGCATAATAGCAGAGAGGTTAATTTCCTCAAGCTCATCAAGTTTTTCCATGAGGAAAAGATCGACAGCAGAAGCCACTGTTCTCTTTTCAGTCCTGGGCATCATTACTTTGTTAATGAACTTGAACATCAACTGATACTCCCCTTTAAGAAACTTCTTAGGGATCCCTGCATGCTTGTCATCTCCTCATTTGGTAGCAAGCTTCGAGAAATCACCAGTTGGTTTACAACCCTCAATAGTTCGAATTTCTACCACAGGCACTCCAAGAATGATTCCTAGAGTCTCTTCATCTAGATGAATCTCCACATTCTTGACAATGGTTTTGATTCAACCTCCAGTAGTTCCATCTTGTAGAAGAATTCACGCACTTCAGGTTCGTGCAAGTATGGAACTGGTGATTCAAAAAGATGATTCCATCCTTGAATGATGACAGCGTCAACCAGATTGGCCATCCCAAATTTTGTTAGAATGTCAGGATCAAAGACTCTACCATTCAATACTCTTTATTGCTCCATTTTCTCTATCCTCTCCTTTCTGGTCAATTCTTTTTCTTCGATTTGGTCTCTAACCCTTGGACCAGGTCCTTTTACGAGTTGTTCTTTATTTTGCTTTATAATCTTCACCCTCTTTACAAGTGATTTCTTTCCCCCTTTTTGATTCCCCTTGGATTTAACCCTTTCTTCCTCAACTTCTCTTCTCCTTTTTGTCACATACTTGGCAGCATCCTCAGATTCAGTTTCACTGTTCTCAATGGACAGGGAGCAGAGGTAGGTTGTTCAGGTTCAACCCATTCTCTCCTCCTCTTACTATTTCTCTCAGTTTGGGCTTTGCTTGCTGCAATCGCATTCCCCATAATCTTTTGTGTTTCACTTCTTATAACGTACTTTCTATTGTCTTCTTTAGGATGAGTCAGTACCAACTTTTCCTTCATTTTTCTCTGTCGCTATTTTTCTTGTTTAGCAGATTCATCAACAATGCCAATACTAGGGGTGCCTTCAACTGTTTCCAACTTAGGGACATATTCTTGAGATTTGTTTCCTCCTCGCATTCCCCTTGAGTTCCATTTCAATAGAATCTTTTCTTCTTCTTCCTTATCGCTCCCAACATTGAAGGATTTTGGTGTTTGGTCGAAAATAGGTTCACTTCTGCGAGGGACCTGATCCGGTGACCTCAGTTCTTGGTCCAACAATGTGGGTTGAGTATCTCCTCTTAGTGAGGCTAAACTTTGAACATACACTAGTTCTGTCCCTGTTGTTAGTATACAAGAGTCCGGACCCTTTCCCTCTGGCAGATCTCCTTCAAACAGCCTTTCAGATATGGTAGACGACACAGCCAGAGACCCAACCTTTGTTTCTTCAGAAAGAAGTTCAGCACTAGGTTTTTCTACAGATTGAGCCTCTGAATTCTGAGATTTGTCACCAAACAACACTAGGGTGGGAGAACAGACCAAGACTTCGTCAGACGGAGGAACATGGGAGGCTATGATTTTAGTCTGAGGAGAGAAAGACCCATCCATTTCACCATCCCCACAGACTGGGGTAGAGGGAGAATCCTCAAGAATAGGAATGGAGAAGTCAAATGAACTAGGGTTTTCAACTTCTTGGGAGAGTGGAGCCTTTGAAGATGACTCAGAGTTAGGCATCTTAAAGAAAAGAGAGAGACAGAATATAGAGAGAAAATTTGAGATTTTAGAAGAGGGTTTAGGATTGATAACCTTTGATTTTGAATTTTGAGAGAAATTTGGAGAGAATTAGGATTTAAAGTTGGAAGGGATCGGGTCCCAAAAGTGGCGACCTTTGGTTTTAAAACGACGGGACATTTGAAACTAACATGATGAATAGGAGAGTGACACGTGGCAATGATGTTGACGTTTAGACAGTGTAGTATTAATGCTACTAACCTCATGAGGACCAGTTTCTTCTTTCAGTTTGTAACTTTGCTTGTGTGATTTAACCTTCCCTTCAGCTAGACAAACCATGAGTGTATACCTGCATTAAGGTACTAGAAATGAATTCTTTTATGACACATATTAAAACAAATATAGATACATGCCCTCCTTAACATAATCAACATGGAGGATTTTTGTGCAAACTTGTCAAGGAATTACATGATCTTGTGCATCCCCAGCCTCATCCTATTTTTGATGAAGCATTCTTTACTCAAAGGCTTGGTAAAGATGTCAGCCAATTGATCTTCAGTCTTGCAGAATTTCATCACCACATGTTGTTTTTCAACATTGTCTCTTAAAAAGTGATGTCTCACATTTATGTGCTTTGTCCTTTTGTGCTGGATAAAATTTTTAGCCATGTTCATGGCACTGGTGTTATCACAAATGAAAGGGATAGTTCTGTGAGTACACCAAAGTCTTCCAACTGCTGCTTGATCCATAATATTTGTGCACAACATGATGCAACAACCACATACTCTGCCTCTACAGTAGACAATGACACGAAATTCTGCTTTTTTGTTCCCCATGAAATCAAGGTTGATCCCAGGAAGTGTGTCATGCCTGATGTGCTTTTTCGATCAACCAAAAAACCTGCATAATCAGCATCAACATAACCTATAAGATCAAAAGAGTCACCAGTAGGATAGAAGAGGACCAGGTCCTTAGTTCCCTTCAGGTATCTCAGGATACGTTTGGCTGCCTTCAGGTGAGACTCATTTGGTGCTGCTTGAAATCTTGCACACATCCCTACATTGAACACTATGTCTGGCCTACTTGCAGTGAGGTACATGAGTGACCCAATAATTCCGATATACATGGTCTAATTGACCTCCACGCCATTTTCATCTCTATTAAGCTTCACACTTGTGCTCACAGGAGTGTCCAGCACCTTGCCTCAAGAAGGTTAAATTTCTTGAGCAGCTTCTTGATATACTTCTCATGGCATATTGAAGTCCATTGATAGGTTTGTTTAATCTGCAAGCCTAGGAAGAAAGTGAGCTCACCCATCATGCCCATTTCGAACTCACTACTCATCAAGACAACAATCTCTTTGCACAGTGGGTCTGAAGTAGCTCCAAATAAGATATCATCAACGTACACCTGCACAATCAATAATTCCTTACCTCTAGATTTCAGGAACAAGGTGTTATCAATTTTACCTCTCTTGAACCCATTGGCTAGTAGGAATTTTGATAGGCATTCATACCAAGCTCTGGGAGCTTGGTTTAGCCCATACAAAGTTTTGTCATGTTTCAACACATGATTGGGAAGGTCTGCGTACTCAAAGCCTGGGGTTTTTTTACATATACTTCCTCCTTCAGATTTCCATTCAAGAAAGCACTATTAACATCCATTTTAAACAACTTGAACTCCATGTGAGCTGCAAATACTATTAAGATTCTGATGGCTTCCATTCTAGCTACAGGGGCAAAGGTCTTATCATAATCAATCCCTTCTTCTTGGTCGTAACCTTGTACCACAAGCCTTGATTTATTTCTAATAATGGTGCCATGCTCATCAAGTTTGTTTCTGAAGACCCATCTAGTCCCAATAATAATTCTATCAATTGGTCGGGGGACTAGGTGCCACACTTTGCTTCTTTCAAAACTGATGAAGTTCCTCATGTATTGAAGTTACCCAGTCTACATCCTGCAATGCTTCTTTGATGTTCTTTGGTTCAATGGATGATATGAATACTGAGTGAGCAACTAGATTTCTTGATTTAGATCTAGTTTGAATTCCAGAGTCAAGTGGAGAGATGAGATTGTCCACTGGATGTGAGGATTGATGCTTTCATCCAGACTTTTTGGTAATCTCTTCTTCTCTGTTAGCATCAGAATCACCTTTACATTTTTCAAGATTTTGAAACTTTGTTTCCTATGATGAACCTGAGGGACCAGGTCTTCCTGAGTGTTCTGCATCCTTATCTTTTGTACCATGATCATCCTGTTGCTTGTTCATCAATTCATCAATCTCATAGTCTTCATTGTTCTTATTTCTTGTACCCAATTCATCAAACTTAACGTTCATGCTTTCTTCTACACAAAGAGTTCGTTTGTTAAACACCATGTACGTCTTGCTTGTAGATGAATACCCAACATAAATACACCTTCATCACTTCTGGCATCGAACTTGCCTAGATCATCCTTTCCGTTAGTCAACACAAAGCATTTGCACTCAAATGGTCTAAGATGAGCAATTGAAGGTTTTTTGTTATTTAATAGCTCATAAGGAGTTTTCTTGATGATAGATCTGATAAGACAACTTGTTTGTCACATAGGAGGCTGTATTAACTGCTTCAACCCAAAAATTCATTGCAAGTCCTGAATCGATCAGCATAGTTCTAGCAATCTCCACCAGAGTTCTATTCGTTCTTTCAACCACTCCATTTTGTTGAGGAGTTCTTGATGCTGAGAAGTTGTGATTGATTTCATTTTCAGTACAGAACCCTTCAAGCAGATAGTTTTCAAACTCCGTTCCATGATCAGATCTGATATTGGCTATCTTGTCATTTAGCTTCAATTAGATGGCTTTGGCAAATGTGATCAGTTGTCCAGTTGTCTTATCTTTTGTTCGCAGAAACATGTTCCAAGTGAACCTGGAAAAATCATTAACAATGACAGGAATAGATTTCTTACCTCATCTACTTTGGATTCTGATAGGTCCACATAAGTCCATGTGGAGCAGCCCTAGAGGTCTCGTTGTACTGACTCCCTTCTTGGCCTTGAATTATGACTTAGTCTGTTTCCCTTTAGCACAGGCCTCACAGACTTTGACATTTGAAAACTTTAGTGTTGGCAATCCACGGACCAAGTCCCCTGTAACAAGTTTGTTCAATAATGAAGTGCTCACATGACCCAGTCACCGATGCCACAAATCTGCACCATCGGTTTTAGCACTTAAACAAGACAGATCATCTCCCTCAATGGAATCCAGATCTACAATATACATATTTTTAACTCTAGTAGCTGTCATAACAACTATTTTGGTAATGCGACTTGTAACCAAACATTTATCAGCCATGAAATTGACTTCATTTCCTTTATCACAGATTTGTGAAATACTCAGAAGATTGTATTTTAGACCGTCCACATAGTGTATATTGTTTATTGAATTATCAGCAGATCTCTATCTTGCCAATACCAAGTATAGAGCCCTTCTTTCCGCCACCAAATGACACACCACCACCTTGGTGTGCTTTCAAACAGAGGAAGTTTGAAGTGTCTCCAGTCATGTGCCTTGAGCATCCACTGTTCATGTACCAGCACTGACTCATTCCTCTCTTCTGCATAATAATCACTTGCTAGATTTAGGAACCCACTTCAAACGGAGTTCCCAATAACTATCAAAAGGCTTAATAAGAAACCTTCCTATCTAGGAAGGCAAGGTGTTCTTATTGAAACGATAACGGGGACCAGGTCCCTTGTGTTCCCTTTTATCATTGTTTTCCGATCTGACAAATTTCTCATGCTTTTGTTTTGTTCTTCTCTAACTTTCACACTTATCTTTTAGATGACCATTACGCCCACAGTAAGTACATAACAGATTGTCAGATATAGACACATATTTGCTATAAGGATTATAGGAAGGTTTTATTGGTTTGCATCCCAGCCCTTTCTTTCCATTGAAACTTTGATTAGACAGGTTAGAGAGTATCTTAGAGGAATCAATCCACTTTAGAGAGTGGCTTAGCTCCTCCTTGATCCTACTCAGATCCTTTCTCAGTTGGGAATTAGTTTCAAGAGAAGCAACTAGCTTAGATTCTGAAATTTTAAGTTTTTTCTTCTAAATCTTCATCAAAGATGTTAAGCTTTCTCTTTCCACTCTCTGAAGTACCAGGATCCCCCTTAGAAACTATATTGCTAGTTTCTAGAGTACCTATCCTTAAGCTCATTTCAGAAACTTGAGACATGAGAGCTGAATTCTTATCCTCAAACAAACTCAATTTTTCATTTAACATTAAGTTTTCAGTTGTTCGTTCATCAACGGAATCAATAAATAGGGCAACAAGTTTCCTCGGGAGAGTTTTCTAAATCATCTTTAAGATCAAAGAGGATTACCTCATCTGGATCTTCCTCGTCATCTGACTTAGCCATCAGGGAGAAAATGGAGTTGAAAACATTTTCATCATCATCAATGGCCATCATTGATACATCCTCATGGTTTTCTGCATCTTTTTCTGACTCACTTGAATTATCTCCCCATACATCAAAGGCTTTTCTTAACAACTGATCCGCATGAGCCTTTCTTCGAACATTGTCTGGGATCAGGTCCCTCTTGTGAGGTTTGAAGTCATGAGTTTCTTGCCTTTGACTGGGGCAGTCCCTCATAAAGTGATCAGGCTTCCCGCATTTATGGCGCATATCATTGGCAGTAGCAGTTCTACTGGTAGAGGCTTTCTTTTGGAAACCCCCATGTTTCTTTATGATCTTTTGAAATCTTCTAGTGACATACGTCATCTCATCCTCCTCCTCAGTCACCTTACTTTGAGATGTTTTCAAAGCAATGGATTTCTCTTTCTTTCCTTCCTTCAAAGCCATCCTCTGCTTCTTGTTCATCTCGTAAGTCTGAAGATTCCCAATTAGTTCATCCATGGAAAGAGTCGTTAGATCTTTGGCTTCTGTTATGGCATCCACTTTGCTTTCCCAAGATTTAGGAAGCACTTTAAGGATCTTGCGAATTTGCTTGCTCATAGAAATAGGCTCACCCAGGCCTCTCAGCTCGTTGGTGATAGAGGTGAATCTTGAGTTCATTTCAAAGATGGTTTCCCCTTCCTTCATGCTGAAATTTTCGTACTGAGTGGTGAGCATATCAACCTTGGACTCTTTCACTCGCTGGGTTCCTTTATGGGTTGTTTAAAGACAGTCCCAAATGTCTTTTGCAGTCTCATAGACAAATATTCTGTTGTATTCATATGCTCCAATTCCACATACCAGAATCTTCTTTGCCTTATAGTTCTTTTCAATCATTTTCTTGTCTGCCTCATTGTAGTCTTTTCTGGTTTTGACAATGGTGGTGGTAAGCTCTTCATCCTCCACCTCTTTTATAGGAATGTATGGTCCATCAAGGATAATATCCCACAACTCAGAGTCCTCAGCGTTGATGTAATCATGAATTCGATTCTTCCATCATCCATAGTATTGGCCATTGAAACGAGGTGGCCTAGTAGAAGATTGTCCTTCCTCCATATTGGGTGGAGCAGTCATTCCTTCAGGATCTTTTCTTTTCTTGGTGTTAACCAAACAGAAAAAGTCAAGCTCTATGCGTCCACCTATGTAAATGGGACCAGGTCCTCAACACACTCAAAATAAATAGTAAAGAACAAATGTTGGAAGTAAAGAATGACAATCAACTTTACGTGGAAACCTCCTTGCTAAAGGGAGTAAAACCACGACCTGGCCTACCAGGACTTTTCAAACTGCTTTCACTAATCTTCTTAAGCAAAAGTAAAAGTCAGTTTACAAACTGAGATTAGCCTACTAATCCCAACTCTAAGCAATACTTCCTATTACTTAGCTGAGCCAGAGCAGATACAACACTGCCCACTATACTAATTCTAACCGATTAGTATAGACTTTAGAGTAAGAAACTGTGTTACCCTTAACCTAGTTCTTACAATGATTCACACAAGTTTGAAACGTTTATTTCACAAGTGAAACGAATCTTACAATATAAGCACTATTACAAGCAGACAAATGCAGTTGGTACTGAAAGCAAATAGAAGCACTTCTATCAGGTCCCTTGTTGTTTTGAAGCTTGAAAGTATTTCTCTTTGAATGAATGAATGAATGAATGAATGAGTGATGTTGTTTGTTG